CCCTTTAATTTCCTTAGGGTAACCCACAAATATGCATTTATCAGACTTGGCGGATAGCTTATCAGAAGCCAGACGTTTTACGTAAACATCGCATCCCCAAATCTTCATAAATGCTAACCTGGGACGCTTCCCAGTCCATATCTCATATGGAGTCTTCTGAACCGACTTTCGACCTCATTGTCGTGCAACCCAACTCGCGCATATGCGCCGCACATCTGTGCCACATCAGCCTTTGAATCCGGCTTTTAACCTCTTCGATTGGAATACTCCGATCGTCGATCCGCACATTTGCACCATTTATTTTCTTTTTCCGGCATAGCCGCTAAACCATCGCGCTTTTTGCGCTGCCGACATTGCTGTCGCACAACCCCACAATACCGTGCATGTGCACCACGCTTCTGCTTCACCGGACTTTTTCAGATCCGCCAACAATCCACCGGTTCCTAGGTTCGATTGTCAAATCCCGTTATTTTCTGGAGAATTCAACCTCAAGCAGTTGTCATCTCCTTGAGTTTGAGGGGGCGTATAAAGAGATATGAAGAAGATTTGAGAAGATTACGTAATATTTAGATTTGATTTTATTTCTATATTTTAGATATTTATATTTATTAAATAATATATTTTATGATTTTGTTTCTGCTATAAATATTGTAATGTTACATGTTGAATAATGAGAAATCCAATGATTCTTCATCTCTTTCTCTATTAATATGTGTGTGTGTATATATATACCCGAATAATGCAGATCCGCAGAAGCAGTATGCGGACGCGGTGATAGAGGTTTTGCCGACGCAGCTGATTCGGGACGACGACGAGGGAAAAGTGCTGAGAGTGAGGCTGATAATGAAAGAAGGAATAAAGCACTTCAGTCCCGTTTATCTTTTCGACGAAGGCTCCACCGTTAATTGGATCCCCTGTGGTCGCAAACTCACGTGCTCGTATCCGGGCATCAACTTCTCCTACGGCCCTGACTCCTACTTCGGCCAAGAGGTATTTTATCTACTTCACTTTATGTATATGCTTTCGTCCCGGATGTTAGGGCACCCGAAATAGCGAGTGTCTGTCATATTTATGAGTTGAATATCCAAAATCTTGGGTACTCATCCTCCAACAAGATGAGTACATGCCTGTCGCCAGCGAGAACCCAATCTTTGGATTCGAATTCGGGTTTTACCCGACGAATGCCTATGTCCGTGGGTACCTGGGCTAAAGAGAGAGAAGTGGAGACGCCAAAAGAGAAATGGCTAGAGGGCTGAGGTCAAGGGGCGAAGGCGAGACCAATTTAGAATTTCGGTTCTTCCTCGTGATTAACCCTCACATCTCCTGGTCACTCTCTTTTCTCTCTCTCTCCGCCTGTCTTGCTAGCCACGCACCCAATGAACACTCGAGCCCTCATGGCATCGCACCTCTCGGATACCCAAAGTTTCGGTGCCTGACTCCAACAAAACCCAGGGGGGGTGAGACCAAGATCGGATATACCGGAAAACTCAGATATCCGATTTGTATCCATCCTTAATCAATGGAAGTGTTGGAAGATTGATGGTATCCGAAAGTTTAACAGTAATAGATATTCTAGAAACTGAAAGATCGTAGAACCCATTAAATGAAGATTTCGGTTCTGTTACTCACTTCTGAAACTTGTTTTGGTTGGGAATAGGTTTCCGTGTTGGAGATGGATGGGCAATTCGAGAGGCTGGAAGAGCTGGTATACGTGGAGAGTCACCTGAGCAACCTCTCGACCAAGTTCTATGGCGAAGTCACCCAACAGATGCTTAGACATGCTGATTTCCCCGGCACCAGCAACGGAACTGGTCTATTCCAGACCATCATAGGTCTGAAGATCAGACATCTTTACGACCAGATCATCTCCAGCAAAGCCTCTGCCCCTGTAGAAGGCGCCATTGTCTGAACAGCTTAACCCAATCAATCTCGTCGATAAAACCCTCTCTTCTCGCAGTTTCACAACGTGTTTTCGGGTTCTTCTAGGCAATTGCCAATTAAGACAAGATCTTTGTGTTTTTTGTTATTCCTGTGGAGAAAGAGTCTGTAATGTAGACAAAGTAGTAGCAGAGAAATAACAGTTCCGTGAATAGCACAAAACGCCCTTCAACATCTTCTCCTTTCAGACAAGAATCTCAAAATCAGGATAGAAAAGAATCTGTAATGGTTGAAACGTAAAAGAGATCAAGCTTCTTCCTTTTTGGGTAAAGAGGAAGATGAAGTTCCTTCCCTTTACAGCCATCAAAGAAGAAACTCAAAAGTCAAAACACTTGATCCGGCTATGGCGTTGAATTTACACCGAATCAATCACGATCATTACGATTTCAAGGTACTAGAAAGTTTATATACAGAGACATCCTTGGACAAGGGGGCACATGAAAACCGTAAGGCAAAATCCTAGCCGAAATGATGAACTTAGGTTAAAACTCTAACAGGTAAGTAAACAGTAAAGCATGATATTAGGCATTACTTATTACTTGATGGTGACGAACTTGTTAGTACCGTGCCTGGCCCAATGGTTCTTGAGGTCGACAGGGTGAGAAAGGTCGTACCCTTCTCCTGCAAGCCTCAGCAAGAGCTTCACATAAGCTCCATTGCTCATTTTCCTCCCGGCCAGACGAGCCCTAGGCCTTGTGGTGCTCATGGGAAGAGGATACTTTGATACACTTATGGTACAGCAAGAGGACTGCCACCCACCCAAACCCCATTTGTAGCAAACCCTTGGAACGCCTGTGCAAGAACAAACTGGGGATGGGACCCCAGAAAAATCAAAGCTTGAGATATCGATGTTGATGTTAGGGTTTTTCTTCTCTCGTTTCACTTCTGGAACACTCGGTGTTTTCTTCGGCTTCTTGGGTGCAGAAGGGTTTTTCCTTGGTGGGTTTGGCTTTGGTGTTTTGGATGGGGACTTTTGTCTTGTAGACTTTCCTTTCATGGGCTTCGTGGTCTCGGTATCATTTCTGGTATCCCCAACAGGAGGAAAAATATGAGCTGGAGGAACCATGCCGCCTTCCACATGATTTACTCGAGTTAGTTGTGAAAGATCGATGCCTGTAGTTCTCGGAATGGGGATAAACCTTCCGGGATAAAACCAAGGGACATGAGTTGCAATCATGCCCGCCGAGCCCTGACCCGTGTTTGCTTCAGATATCATGTGGTTTTGATGTGGATATGAACTCATCTTGACTGCTAGTTTCAGAAGTTGAACACCCAAAATGACTGCTTTTAAGTGAAACCAGAGCAAAAAAAATTTTAAAAGTTAACCAAAATGATCGTAAATGCAATTTTGAACTAACAACAAACAGATCCAATACCGAGAGCAGTGTCAAAGAGATTTCTGCCAACTTTTTTTCTGTATAAATAAAGCAATTCCATAGAGGGAGCAGAAGAACAAGAAACACCATGAGCCTTAGAACCGACATTATCCAGAGGAAAACGAATTCATAGTTTTCTTCGTGTAATGAAATTGGATAACCAGCCATTTGTGGGTTCGTCAAACAAGCCCAGACACATCCATAAGTACACAAGTATCTTCTCAAGCAAACAGACATGAACATTGTTGAATGCATGGGAAGACGATTCATTTTCCTGAATTACTCGTATGGAAACATGAAAGCCAGAACAACAATCCATGAAAGAAGAATCAAAATCCACTTCATAGAACCACGAAAACCCTAATTCGCATAAACCCCGCCATAATTAGCAGCCATCGATCATGCAAAAACACAACACTTTGCTAGGGTTTCGAAAGAAGCAAACCCAGAAACAGAGTTGAAGGAAAAAAAAACAGCTAACTTTCGGAACAAAAAGGCAAACGAAGTTAGAAACAACGTTACCAAAACTGAGACGAGACTTCACCGCTTCGCTCTCCGCCTTTCGCGCGCACTCTCCGATGCTATGACATTCTCTCTTCCTACTCTTCCCGAGTTTTTTTTTTTTTTTTTCAAGATATCTTTTTTTTTCAATTGCGAATTTCTAGGGTTCCTCAAAATTTCCTCGAATTTCAAAAAAAAAACTCTTACAGTTGATCCACGCGACTTTTAGGAGCGTGTTACTCAACCCTTCAATTGTGGTAACACTAATATTCCGACATAAATTACAACTCACCAAACGTTACAAAAAAAATACAAGTTACGAAAAACACTGTCCATTTTTTTTCTGTTACATATCTCCAAATAATGGTGTAAACTAAAATGATATATACGGTGACAGTATTTATAATAGCTTATTCAATCCAGTAATAAACTTTGGAAATATAAATATACAGACAACATTACTCTAATATTTTTCATATAAAATGGAATGTTCCTACCCAAATTTTAATAATTTATCATTTATTTATATGTTTATCTTTTTCTTATAACTAAGTCTAAACTTTTTCATACAATAATTATAGATTTTTTAAATAATAAAAATATCCATACATATTGATCGTTATAAAATGTTCTTAACCAGGAATTTAGGGTATCGCAGGAATCGCTAAAAAAATTAAGTGGATCAAGACATGACCCAATGGGCTTGAAGAATAGGCCTTTATCAAGGCTTCTTAATTTCTTATAGGCCTATATATATTACGAGAGACTGATCAATCGGTTTCTGTGTATTTACAATCATAAAACATCAGACGCGCATCGTTAGCGCGTGAGAGACACCGCCACAATTTCCCTAGGTTATAGTCCATAGATTTGGGTAATTTTCCGTGGATTTAGAAAATGAGGCGCGTGGAAGAAACTACGCCTCCCTTTTACTAAACACACAGCAATGTCTTTTTTCTAGTTAGTGGAAAAAAATACAGTAATATAAAGTACAAAATACAAATATTCAAAACATATAATATAATTATATTCCGCATAGTATATTATTTTTTGGAAATTGATTTGATAAATGAAAATAAGAATTATTAATAGCACTTACCCAAAAAAAAGAATTAATAATAGAAAACATTGCAATATTATAGTACAAAAAATAAAATGTCAGAAGTGGGATTTGAACCCACGCCCTCTACCGAGGACCAGAACTTGAGTCTGGCGCCTTAGACCACTCGGCCATCCTGACTTGCTGTTAGAGGGTAATACTTTATATAACATATATATATTTTGACAATGATTAAGAAAAATAATATATACATTTAAAGAGAAAATAATAACCTAACGATTGGCACGTTTAATGGTAAACAAAACGAATGCAGCATTTCAATAATTTGTTTACGTGCATTCCGGTATTCCGTTCGCAAATAATTGGATTCAATACTTTCGATTTTACAAAAATATATATCAATCATTTATTATATCATATTATGTTAAATTCGATTTTTGTTTCAATTTTAATTTTAAAAAATATTTGGTTACTCACATTTTTAAAATTTTTATTAAGCTCGAATCGATTTATGAAAATTTGATTTTTTTTTTTAAATAATGTCGTTCGATTCTTGAAAATTCAGTTTTTTAAAAATAATATCGTTCAAAAAATTTGGACGATTCGAATAAAAAATAACTTGAGAAAAACACTGATGATTATTTTTTTATAAGATTTATGTCCAATAGGATTTGAATTTAGGTTGGAAATATTGATGATTGTTGGTTTTTGGTTCAAGTCTTTTGTTGATTATTGACTGAAGTGGCTCAAGTTTGGAACATGGATTTTCTGCAGTAATGTGACGGTTTACAAACTGCAGTTTATGAAAGTTTTAACTGGTTTTTTTGTCGATTACTTATTGTGCTACAAATGTATGTATTATTGGTTATGTTTATTGTTTGCAAACTTTGTGTTCTCTGCAATCATTTGTGATGGTTCGAATAGTGTGTGTTAATGATGTAATAAAATGTGTTGAATATTGTTTTTGTATTATTCAAATTCAAAGCAGAGAATGAAAGAGAAATTTGAAGAACTAACAATTGGGTGGTCATTTCGGGTTTCGGTTCGGGTTCGGTTCGGTTATATTCGGATTCATTTATTTCGGTTATAGAAAAACTATACCATTCGGTTTTTATATAAATTTCAGTTGGGTTTGGTTCGGTTATTTTTCAGTTCGGTTTCGGTAAAAAACTCATTTTTTCAAATAAATTATCGGTTTTTTCGCTTATTTTTTTATTCGGTTCACTTTAGTTCGGTTTCAGATTTTTCGGGTTACAGAAATCATAACTGTTCGGTTTTGATATCGGGTTCGGTTCAGATACGGTTATGTCTTATTCGATTCAATTCGATTCAGTTATTCGGTTAACAACCGAAATGGCCACCCCTTCTAACAATGACAACACATCTAAACAAAATTTACACCCTGGATAAAGCATTCTTCAAATCGTTTTAAAATCACTTGCAAACATCGTAAATCCTTTCACTACAAGAAACATCTGAATTTGCGACGGAAAACTCTGTCGCAAACATAAATAAAGTCCGTCGCAATTACAACTTTGCGACAGAAAGCGACGGAATAAATTTCGTCCGTATACCATTGTCGCAAAAGTTTGCCGGTCGTTAATCCGTCGCAAAATTGCAACAGACAAAATCTGCGTTTTGCGACGGATTTGCGAGAGAAAAATCCGTCGCAAATATTTTTTTAATTTAAAAAAATATAAAAAATAATATATTATACATATACATACATATACACATACATTACACATATACACATAATTTCTATACATATATATATACACATACATATATATTCATACACATAGACATATACATTTACATACACACATATACACACATACATAAACACACATTTATACACATATATATATACATATAAATTTACATACACATACATATATACACATACACACATACATAAACACACATTCATACACATATATATACACATACATAAACATACATATATATACACATATACATATACATTACACACATACATAAACACACATTCATACATATTCACACATATACACATACACATACATATATACATATATTCACATACACATCACATAAACACACATACACATATATATATATATATATACATATACATTCACATTCACATTCACATACATACACAACACACATACATAAACACACACATACACATATACATACATAAACACATACACATTTGTATACATAAACATATACACATATACATACACACATACACATTTACACATACACATATACACATATTCACATTCACATGTACACAACACACACATATACACATACATTCACATATATACACATATACATATCCATATACACGATATATATACACAAACCTTGACGAATTTTGAAGAGAAACAATTTGTTAGAGAATATTGGAGAAGATTGAGATCTTTTTTCTTGAAATTTCGAAGTCTAGCGGAGAAAGACGAAGTCGCAGTTTTTATTAAGTATTGCGACGAAAATTTTCATCGCAATCTGTCGCAAAACGAAAAATAAACCGCGAAAATTTGAAATTTTTCATCGAAAATAACGGAAAAAAATGAAAATAGGATTTACAATAGAAATTTCTGTCGCAAATTCCAAAAATAAATAACATAAATTTAAAAATAAATAAAATTAATATATACGATGGAAATTTTCGTCGCAATCCGTCGCAAAACGAAAAATAAACCGCAAAAATTTGAAATTTTTCATCGAAAATAACGAGAAAAAAATGAGCAGTGTCAAGTGCCTCACTCTGGTAACCATCGACCATGGTATCCACATCTGGAACTAATACCCCGGCCACGACCTTGCCCCCTCCCCTCGTGGAGAGTAGCTCTCACTACAAAAAAACAGTTATATAGCGACGGAAAAATTCGTCGCAAATATAAAAGAAATCTGTCGCAATTAAGAATTTGCGACGGAATGCGACGGATTTATTTCCGTCGGTATAGCGCTGTCGCAAACGTATAACGGTCGTTAATCCGTCGCATTTTTGCGACGGAAAAAATCTGCGTTTTGCGACGGAAAGTGACGGATAAATCCGTCGCAATTTGCGACGGAAGTTTTTCCGTCGCATTCCGTCGCAAATGTTTTAAAAAATTTTAAAAAAATATAAAAAAATTATATACTATAATTTCACAAACACATACACATACATATAAACACACACATATACACATATTCATATACACATACAATCACATATACATACACGTACATATTCACATTCACATATATATACACATCCACATACATAAACACACACACATACACATTCACACATACATACACATTCACTTACACATATATAAACACACACATACACATTCACACATATATATACACATTCACTTACACACACATACACATATATAAACACACACAAACACATCAAACACACACATATATATATACATAAATACATATATATTACCTTATGGGAGAAATTTGGCGATTTTTGTTTTATTTTTCGAAAATGTTTGAAGTCTGATGAAGAAGACGACTCGTGGTTTTATATTGCGTTTTGCGACG